TGGCTCATAGAGTCATGGATGACAAACTGGGATGTCGATATTTGTGTGTACTTCTCAGCTGTTGGCCCCAAAACATCAATGTCTTTAATTCTTAGACTTGCTGCCAAGCTCTTTATTAGAAAATGATTGTCATACCTGCAAGCGATAATAATTTATTGTTTAATTTAAGATCTAGATATTGAAATACCTTTTAAAAAACAAATAAAATCTGAACAACAATTTACCCTTTCGCGTTGTGAAAGTAAACAATAGTCTTCTTTCTCAGTTGTAAAGCTAAGTTACAAGATGAGTGTGCCGCGCCTCTGAACAACCCTGAAAAAAAAAATAGTTTAATATTAATAGTGTTGATCTGGAAAAATAAAAACTAGGGTTATTACAACGAACTTCCAAGTGACAACATTTTGATGGAAACTGTGATTAATTGATTAACCTGTGACATGACAGTGATCACGGCAAACCTCCCCTGTCCCCCAATCCAGAGGTTTCTCACAAATATGACAGATTAAGGCTTCTCGGTAGGAACGTTCGTCTTCAGCCGTAAATATCATAGGCTTTACAATGTTCAGAATTTTATCAGCCTGATAGCATTCATTAAGTAGACTATCAACGAATACATCACTTGCATCAGGTCCTCTGTAAACTTTCACTCGTTTACAAAGTTCGGGAAATGGGGATACCACCATATAGGCAAATCCTGTAGGTTTCTGCTCGCAGATTAGTTTGGTTTTATCTGAGATTTCTTCTGTCACATTTTCCTGGAAAGCTTCAAAATCTGCGTAGATGGTTACAGGGTTTTCTAGTTTGCGATGAAAATTTTTGAACTTCAGCTTTAGGTCATCTGGCATTGTTATTGTCGGTTCTCCTGTCTGACAGTAGTTACAATGTCTCATGTAAGTGAGAATCGATTCAAAAACTCGGTAACATCGATTGCAGGTGGGTCTAGTTTTGAGGTGTTTTGTGAGGAGTCTCAGGAGTGTAGGTAAGGATTTGATGAGCAGGTAATGGCTTTTAGAATCCTTGTGAATTAGTAGTAAGTTAACCGTTTTGTCGAATTTATAAGATGATGGTTGAAGGGGTGTTATGAACGTTGGCGCCTCATGTTCAGAATAGGAGAAGACGTTTACATTCACATGGTTCTGGTATTCAAACTTGGGTATATTCTCGAGCTTGACTGGAACTTGGATACCTGGAGTAAATTGTAAGTTCAATGTTCTCATTTAAAGAGATATGATTAATCTTTTAGCAAATTATAAACTAAAAGAGTAAAATATAACTTACCACTCATATCAAATCGATTTACTATTCCTTTGTAAAATCCAGGACGGGTTCGTTTTCTCTTGGGGGTATTGTAGGCAGCAGCCACAGCATAAAGAAAGCACAGGTTATCTTTGTTTCTTATGTTCAACAAACATTTGCGGTTTTTTAGAGGAGCTGGTGTTGGGATGTAGGACCCGCCAGAAAGTGGTTGGTATCTAATAATTTTTATTGTCACACCATTCCAGTGTTCAAATATCCACCCAGAACCTGAAAAAAAGGGTTTTTGACTATGCTTTGATAATCGTGTTATGAAACTAGTATATCGAAATGTTAGCTACGAGGTGTTGAAACGAGATATTTTTCAAATTAATCTAAACGTAAACGCGGCTATATTTCCAGATATGGTTACTCTCCAAAACTGAAGCTGCATAGTTCAACACCCTAATCTTAACCTGGTTTCAATATCCTTTCATTCATTTCCGTTATATTACAAAACACGTGAGTCATTTTAAAATTACCTCTAGATTCAAATTCATCCAGTGAGTGGAGAACTTTAGTGCGACTTTGTTGTAGAATACTGTCCACACTTTGGTTCTGATAACACACGGAGGTCTTGGTGTAAAACGCAACCTTTTGCGTATCGCTATCAACGTTTTTCTGATAAAATCATGAAGTTACTAAGGTGTATATTTTAAAGTTGGATCGGTATTGCACTGCGTTATTAAACTAAAAACACCGCATGCTAGCCTGAAATGCATGAACTTTAAAATATTCACCTCACTTAGTAAAAGTAAGGACTCTCATGTATTATGACATTGTAAGAAGAAATTTGTAAAACATACCCGAAAACCTGCTTCACAGAACAGGTAGTATTTGAAGCATCCACGCTTTCGCTTTGCAGCTTCTAATATTTTTTGACGTAGAGGTGCAGTAGCTGATCTAATCCAACTTCAGGAATCAGGTTTCTAAGTTGGTGTTTAACAGTTATCTCTGTCGCTAATCCATTAAATGCTTGTTTTACAGTGACAGACATGGTATCTATAAGAGAGTAAAGTGTAAACGATTTACAATAGCTTCTAGTAGAGTGACTACAAGACTTTCTTAAATAGAGTGGGAAACCCTTAATCGATCCGCCGTATTTAGTAACCTCTGCATTGGAAAATAGAAATATAAGTCAAAAAGTATAGTAAAATAAAATGCAGAGAACGGGGTCACCTCGTGAAGGATGTGGTTATTAACCACCTACGGACGGTCTTTTTTCTGTGAAAACTGGTTCATATTACAGAACCTTGACGCAAATTCACCCCCGCAGCTGATCAAAGTTTAAAAGTTATAAGAATTATAGAGAAATAAAGTAACGACCAGCTGTGGAAGGCAAATTTTCCCCAAAAATAAAAAAGTAAAAGAAAAATAAGTGTGGTTAAAACCATTTTAAAAATAGATAGCATAAAAAGATAGTCGCAAAATGTGTAATAAGATTTCTGATAAAATTATGAAGTCACTAAGGTGAAAATTTTAAAGTTGGACGGGTATTGTATTGTGTTACTAGACTTATTATATGAAGGGAAACACACGAATTAGGCTTGAAAACTTCATTTGATACATCGTTAGAGACTTAAATTATTTGTTATATAGTAGTGTTGAAAGTATTAAAAGTCACAGTAAGATATTCAGGGGAATGCAACAAGGCTATCCGATAGGAAAGCAACTCTAAAGGTTCAATTTTTATATTTTTACATGGTTTTTATTCTTCATTAATACTAGTTATTTCGTTTGAAGAGAATCCTCTTCTAATAGACCTTTATTTTAGTGAGAACACTCACTTTGCAACCTTTTCATTAAATCAAATAACTACTCTCACTGGTAGTGGCGCTTCTACTAGCAATACGAAATTGCCGCATGAATAATGAGCAGTTAAATCCATAGCCTCTCGCTACAGTACAAAGTTGCTAATCGCCATGCGCCAGGGCTGTCCAATTGGAAAGCAACTCTGAAGATTCAATTTTGATCCCACTAGCCACAGTCAATTGTAGATTTATTATAATTGTAAAACAGAATCTACCAGTTCAAAGCTAACCACAGTCACCACTTTTAGTACGTGAACTGTAGTAACAACCTTGCTGAATAATTCGTTTAATTTTAATCCCAACAGCTGCATTCATTTGTAGATTTGTAGATTTATTATAATTGTACAACAGAATCTACCAGTTCAAAGCTAACCACAGTCACCACTTTTAGTGCGTGAACTGTAGTAACAATGCTGAACGATTCGTTTACTTTAAATCCCAACAGCCACATTCATTTGTAGATTTATTATAATTGTAAAACAGAATCTACCAGTTCAAAGCTAACCACAGTCACCACTTTTAGTGCGTGAACTGTAGTAACCTTGCTGAATAATTCGTTTAATTTTAATCCCAACAGCCGCATTCATTTGTAGATTTATCATAATTGTAAAACAGAATCTATCAGTTCAAAGCTAGCAGCCGTTAGCACTTTTAGTGCGTGAACTGTAGTAACAATGCTAAACAATGAGTTTACTTTTAATCCCAACAGCTTCACTCATTTGTAGATTTGTAGATTTTATTATATTTGTAAAACAGAATCCATCAGTTCAAAGCTAGCAGCCGTTAGCACTTTTAGTGCGTGAACTGTAGTAACAATGCGGAACAATTCGTTTACTTTTAATCCCAACAGCCTCACTCATTTGTAGATTTGTAGATTTTATTATAATTGTAAAACAGAATCTATCAGTTCAAAGCTAGCAGTCGTCAACACTTTTAGTGCGTGAACTGTAGTAACAATGCTGAACAATTCGTTTACTTTCAATCCCAACAGCCTCACTCATTTGTAGATTTGTAGATTTTATTATATTTGTAAAACAGAATCTATCAGTTCAAAGCTAGCAGCTGTCAGCACTTTTAGTGCGTGAACTGTAGAAACAATGCTGAACAATTCGTTTACTTTTAATCCCAACAGCCTCACTCATTTGTAGATTTGTAGATTTTATTATATTTGTAAAACAGAATCTATCAGTTCAAAGCTAGCTGCCGTTAGCACTTTTAGTGCGTGAACTGTAGTAACAATGCTGAACAATTCGTTTACTTTCAATCCCAACAGCCTCACTCATTTGTAGATTTGTAGATTTTATTATATTTGTAAAACAGAATCTATCAGTTCAAAGCTAGCAGCCGTCAACACTTTTAGTGCGTGAACTGTAGTAACAATGCTGAACAATTCGTTTACTTTCAATCCCAACAGCCTCACTCATTTGTAGATTTGTAGATTTTATTATAATTGTAAAACAGAATCTATCAGTTCAAAGCTAGCAGTCGTCAACACTTTTAGTGCGTGAACTGTAGTAACAATGCTGAACAATTCGTTTACTTTTAATCCCAACAGCCTCACTCATTTGTAGATTTGTAGATTTTATTATATTTGTAAAACAGAATCTATCAGTTCAAAGCTAGCAGCCGTTAGCACTTTTAGTGCGTGAACTGTAGTAACAATGTGGAACAATTCGTTTACTTTTAATCCCAACAGCCTCACTCATTTGTAGATTTGTAGATTTTATTATAATTGTAAAACAGAATCTATCAGTTCAAAGCTAGCAGTCGTCAACACTTTTAGTGCGTGAACTGTAGTAACAATGCTGAACAATTCGTTTACTTTTAATCCCAACAGCTTCACTCATTTGTAGATTTGTAGATTTTATTATAATTGTAAAATCGAAAATACTATAGTTTGTTTTTTGAATAAAATGATAATTCGAATAGTGTGACATGGTCATGAAGGGTACAGTTTATGTCGGAAGGGTACAGTTTATGTCGGAAGGGTACAGTTTATGAGGGGTACAGTACATGAGGGGTACAGTTTATGCCGGAATAAGGAGAGTGCTTCATGTAGATTTCAGGGTGCTGCAGCAGAAGGGTTTGTAGTGACGTGTAGTTGAGTTAGAAATCCAGCTCCAGAAACTGGTTGAGGTCCTGAAATATGTAACGGAGTTTAAGATTATTATTTGAAATAGGTATATCTTAGTTGAATTATAATGAAGTCAACTCATTCTGAATAAAAGTCAATATGATAATATTACTTATGTATATTAATATACATATATGCAATGTTACAATGAAAGTCATAATAAAAACTAGTCCAGAAAACAATAAGTTACTCACCATGGTTTTCCCCTTACTAGTCCCAGGTTTGGAAACTGGTCGCTTTTTCTTTGAGGGGGGTGCTAGTTTCTGAACTTCAAAAACCTTTAAAGTCGTGTACCCGCCAGATGTTGCCACAATACCCTCCAACCAGCAGAGATAAACAAAATGTGAATAATTTGTGTGCGTTTCTTCTTTATATAATCTCTTGGAACAAAGCCACAGACAAAAGAGAACTAGTGAACTGGTTTTAGATCAAAGAAGCTAAGAATTTATCTTTCATGCGGTAGACAATGAGCTAGTAATTGAACAATGAGTTTATTGTGCACCTGTATCAGTAAACGGTACTTTCATCTAAGAACTGAATAAAGGAACGAGTTTGTGATGAATGTATGAAAGTCTAGTTGGTAGTTGGTAGCGCAGGGTGTGGTAATTTTTTAGATCAAAGAAGCTAAGAATTTATCTTTCATGCGGTAGACAATGAGCTAGTAATTGAACAATGAGTTTATTGTGCACCTGTATCAGTAAACGGTACTTTCATCGAAGGACTGAATAAAGGAACGAGTTTGTGATGAATGCGTGAAAGTCTAGTTGGTAGTTGGTAGGGCAGGGACGTAATAGTTTTTAGATCAAAGAAGTGCAGAATTTAGCTTCCATTTGGTGGATATCAAGTTGGATGAACAATGAGCTATTGAATTTTACAAGCTCACCGCTTGGTTCAATCATCTGCTCTATCTAAATGAAAAACTTCGTACGCTGTTAATTAATCTTCATGGTTCATACAATAACTTCACTCGGGGAGAGACCGTTTGCACTGTTAACAATTATATCCAGAGAGGGTTGACTGTTTTCTCTATTCTAGATCTATTCAATAGAGGCTGACAAAGTTTTATGGAACTGCAGACAATAGTTGAAAAGAACTGACTGTTTTATGGATCTTCAGACTCTAATCATAGAGAGTTACTCTTTAGATCTACAGATAATAGTCAAAAAGGAGTGATTGGTTCAGCAATAGAGTTCGTAAAACGGTTATCAAGTATCGAAAATCCTCGAAATTTTTACAAGTGTCGAAAATCCGTGAAATTTTTACAAGTGTCGAAAATCCTCGAAATTTTTACAAGTGTCGAAAATCCTTGAAATTTTTACAAGTGTCGAAAATCTTTGAAATTTTTACAAGTATTGAAAATCCTCGAATTTTTAGGTGGGTCAAAGGGGGCTTTATATTACTACTTAAACTTCTGTTGCGGAAACTCAATGTGTACTGAACTTATCTAACTTTGTGAAGTGATTCGATTGCCTCAATTCACTGTACTATTAGCTGACAAGTTGCTTACTTCTGAGCTCTTGAAACTATATTCATGACGCCCTCACCAGCCACCTCTGCCGTATAAGAAAATCAACTGTACTACAATTGAAATTCTATTACCCTCACTTGCACTTTAAGGGGGCATACACCAAAACAGTGGTTTGTGCCGTCCAGACCTAATGACCTCATAGGCAGTTCAGTGACCTTCTAGCGCACCGTTTCCACCCAAAAAAAATTCATTTTGAGAATTCCCATTTTTGTAATCGACCATTTCCTGGTTAAGAGTGCAATTTTCGGAAAAAATTATTTTGTGGTTGAGACGCTATAAGTTAATCATTTCTTGCGGTATCGGATTGAAATTTTGCTCGCCCTTTATTCACATCTATTTCAATGTGTGTATAAAATCTTGATATCGTATCTAAAAAGGCTGGTGTGTTATGAATTTTTAAAGTCAAAAAGCCAAAATTGTCCTTTTCAGGCTTATTTTAACAAAAAGTCAGTCAGGGAAGATCGGATTGATTTGATGCTTGACATCAAATTGTTCTCTGAATTCTGGCGCAGTTTTTGATGCCCTCAAAAATGTTTTTACTCATTCCCCTTCAGATCTATTGGACCTCAAAGCCAAACAACAAATTTAGGCACATTTTTCGTTTTTAATATATACCGATTTTTCTAAAATTTTGATAGGAATGTGCTAGTGACTTTTTGAAGGGTGCAAAATAACCGCAACTAGCACATTTATATATGAGTTATGAACCACAAAACACCCTAAAATGCTTCCCTTTGAAGTTATGGGAGAAAATGTGATTTTTCATCTGCAAAGCCAAAAAATCACATTTTCTCCCATAACTTCAAAGGGAAGCATTTTAGGGTGTTTTGTGGTTCATAACTCATATATAAATGTGCTAGTTGCGGTTATTTTGCACCCTTCAAAAAGTCACTAGCAAATTCCTATCAAAATTTTAGAAAAATCGGTATATATTAAAAACGAAAAATGTGCCTAAATTTGTTGTTTGGCTTTGAGGTCCAATAGATCTGAAGGGGAATGAGTAAAAACATTTTTGAGGGCATCAAAAACTGCGCCAGAATTCAGAGAACAATTTGATGTCAAGCATCAAATCAATCCGATCTTCCCTGACTGACTTTTTGTTAAAATAAGCCTGAAAAGGACAATTTTGGCTTTTTGACTTTAAAAATTCATAACACACCAGCCTTTTTAGATACGATATCAAGATTTTATACACACATTGAAATAGATGTGGATAAAGGGCGAGCAAAATTTCAATCCGATACCGCAAGAAATGATTAACTTATAGCGTCTCAACCACAAAATAATTTTTTCCGAAAATTGCACTCTTAACCAGGAAATGGTCGATTACAAAAATGGGAATTCTCAAAATGAATTTTTTTTGGGTGGAAACGGTGCGCTAGAAGGTCACTGAACTGCCTATGAGGTCGTTAGGTCTGGACAGATTTGGGGTTTGCCCCCTTAATAATATGTAAATTACTTATTGCAACTCTTCGGTTGATTCATCAATAAGTATATGACGAAGACTCAACTCCTGCATGAATACCAAATACACTACTACGGAATAATATTTTTCGTACAAATGTGCTGTATTATTCCGTACACCAGAAGCGATGGCTGATCTGTTCTTCTCACTGTCGACCGTAAAACGTATCCGTGACTTGGTTAAAGAGCCTGATTAAGATCATACTCATTAACATTAGGTGACATCATAGGTTCATCTTCACTCAATCTGGTCGTTTTGGTGCAAGTTTCATGCTGCTGCTCTAGATCATTTGCAGTCCTCGTATTATCTTCCTGATCTTCTTGCATTATATTATAAGCTTGATGAGTTGCAAACATACACATATTTACGGTGACACTTTGCACTCTAATGCATACCGGTGGTGTGGATTTGGTCATGTTTTGATATTCTGGACCTACTTCTTCCTGATGAACAGTTGATGCAACCTTCTCGCGATCTACATGTTCCGAGTTTTTAATGTAACATGATATTTTCTTCACTTTACTCTCGATAATTTCTAAATGCACTTCGATGTGTATAGTATTAGGAGAAACAGCAGGTGGTTTTATGTGGTCAAACGTTGCATTATCATTTACGGCACACTCCGAAACATCTAATCCAGTTACTACAGTGTCTTGCTTGATACTAACTTGTAGAGTGTCGTTACTGGGTGTTCCTTCTAGAAGGCCAGCTAAGCTACAAACATGCTGTTTTTCACCGTTTTGGAGTCAAAATCAATGATAATGTGGTGCTGTGAAAGGAATGATTGACCCAGAATGCATGCTTCGTTCATCATGTTTGTCACTATGAAATCGCATTCTAACACGGCATTTTTAACTATTACTGGTACATTGTGTAAAATTCCCGAAGTTTTCAGTGGTGCTCCAGTGACTCCAACTAATTTGAAAGTTCCTTCTGTAACTAGCTTGCTAAGTCCAATTTTTTCGACTAGCTTTTCTCCAATCAGATTCAAGCTGGATCCTGTGTCAATAAGAGCCTTAACTCCAACGGAATTAATGTCTACATTCAGATACACGCGACCTTTACAAAGATTTATTGTTTGCCTTTCAATGTCATCCTCCGGGACGGTACCACAATCTACACTCCTCTCGGTATTCCCTAGATCGTTTGGCGACCATTGATCATTGTACTGCTCCTGTCCTTCTGCCAGTCTGCTTCCTAAATTCTGTGAGCCATGCCTTCTAGAATGTTCTTGCTCCCTAAACTGCTGGTGTTCAAGTGCTATATTATTAGACTGCTGTGTTCTATCTTGAAGTGACCTATTTTCTCTTTGAGGACCCTCCGCTGTATTCTGAAAAGGTGGTTATCTTGGTGCACAGGGTTGATAATATCCACGCTGAACTGAACGTTGTCTTTAATCATCAGACCTACTGAAGTTTTGTGAGTTTAGATTCGTTGGCTGCCCATATTGATAAGGACTGCTACTATCATCTACATCCTGGAACCCGCAATTTCTAGCATAGAGTCCATTCTGGCCACAAATGAAACATCTATAAGGCCGCATGGAGGAGTTCTCATAAGATAAGCCTCGTGATCCCTCAACCATCTGGTTTGGAATGAATGTGTTGTTTCGAGAATGGCAGCTACTTGCAAAATGTCCATATTTTTGACAATTATAACATTGCACATTGTCATAGCTTCTTGAGTCACGCCAGTTATTTTGTTGTGGTCTTCCTCTACTCGTGTACATAACAGGAACTTGGAAATATTCCTGATCAAACTTTCCTGTAGCATCTAATTCGGTTTTCATTACTGATACTTCTACCTTATCATGAGCTTTGATCGCTTGCCTAGCTTGGTATGATGAGTCCAGTTTAACTGCCTCAGCCAGTAGTTCCTGAAATGTCTTATCACAGAGGTTGATAAGAATCATACTCAGATCATCTCTTAGAACTCCTGCAGATAAGGCGTCCTTTAAAACCGAATCTCTGGCAGCAAGTTGGTTTGCATTGTACCCAACTTTGCCCAATTCTAGTAACCTTTGACCAAATTGCGCAACTGTCTCATCATGAAACTGTGTGGCTTTCTTGATTTCAAATCTGGCCTTGACTGCTACACTAGGAGTACTAAGTGCTTTAATTACATCTGCTTTGAAAGTATCCCAATCGTCCTCAGTGGTTAGTTCCTTATGCACTAGTAAGTTAAGGGACTTAGCATCAAGGTAGGTTAAGAAAGTGCTAACAGCCTGTTGTCCGTTCATGCACATTATATATCTAAAGGGCTCATACATGTCAAAGTAAGCTTGGATGGTAGTGATAGATGGATCGAAGGTATTCGGCCTACGACTCCCTGCA